GGCCCGGGGTATAAAAGAGGGAGAGAAGGCAGTGGCCCGGGGTATAAAAGAGGGAGAGAAGGCAGTGGCCCGGGGTATAAAAGAGGGAGAGAAGGCAGTGGCCCGGGGTATAAAAGAGGGAGAGAAGGCAGTGGCCCGGGGTATAAAAGAGGGAGAGAAGGCAGTGGCCCGGGGTATAAAAGAGGGAGAGAAGGCAGTGGCCCGGGGTATAAAAGAGGGAGAGAAGGCAGTGGCCCGGGGTATAAAAGAGGGAGAGAAGGCAGTGGCCCGGGGTATAAAAGAGGGAGAGAAGGCAGTGGCCCGGGGTATAAAAGAGGGAGAGAAGGCAGTGGCCCGGGGTATAAAAGAGGGAGAGGAGGCACCCATCAAGGCATTCTGATATTTGCATAACTCCTCCCAAGAGCCAGCCCACTGCCTACATCAGGGCAGAGGAGAGAAGAGTACTGAGGCAGGGTGTTGTGATGTTTTCAGGAAGCTATGTACAGCCCCCTGCTGGCTCCTCCCACCAGCCAAGTCCTGCCTGTATTGTATAAAGAACAGTGACCCAGTGATGACATCACTGGGTCTAAAATGTAATAAAAATTGAAATGTTTTAATAAAAAAAATGACATTCCCTTGATTGATAGGGGGGGACGGGGGGCAGGGAAGGCAAAATATAAGCAGATTAAATGTCAGGTTTAGGAAGCCAGTCCTGGGAAATAAAAAAAGTCAGTTTTGGGTGGACTGCTCCTTTAATGTGCACACGCTGGGTGAGGATCTGATCATTTCTACCCGTGTTTACATGGAGATTCCTGTGCTTGTCTTGGCTCGGTCTGTGGAGTCCGCGGTGTACTGCCTGTGCCGGATCACCGGGTCTGGGTAAATATGGGAGTTTCCCCGTCCTGGATAAAGGGAAACTACGAGGGATTCAGTGAGCTCCCAGTCATTGTAACCCTTCCCCCCCAAATGCAGCTTTTGGATGACATTTGCTCTTCCATATTTTCATGCTACGATTTGTACGTCGACCTATCGGAGTATCAGGCAGTACAGACTGCATTCTTCATGAACGACGGCTGAGATCAGATCGTCATAAGGAGCTCCCAAGAGTAAAACTTGTTGCCCACAGTGACTGGTCAGGTTCAACTTTTTATATTCTGGGGAAATAAGGACCATGGTCAGGATGGGACACAACTAAGTATTTTTAGAAATGGCTTCTGTAGTAAGTTTTTAGCTAGTTTCAATCCACTGGAGACTTGGAACTGAGGGAGGAGAACAGTAAAGTATGATCACTGTACTGAACTACTATTCAAGGAGCTGAATGTATAGAAGAGGCCAATATGGCAGCTCTCATGTGTACATGGCGGTCTATATCATGTACATGGCGGTCTATATCATGTGTACAGAGTGTTCCTTTCCACCTCCATTCCTCTCTGGGCTGCTCCTCTGTATCTGGTATTTCTGGGTGTAGTGGAGTACATGGTATTGTATGATTTTGGTTCCTGTAACTCATTCCTCACCTCTGTGTGGGCCCGGTCCGCTCCTGTACCCCAAACACACCTCACTGCAAAGGGTGAACTTCAAGTTTTATCATTATCACTGCAGGTTAGTCCTATGAGAAGTAGATGGAGGATGACGAGTGGAGGGAATAGGACATAGATTTTTTATTTGACACTACGGAGTCTATAAATATGTTTTTGGGTATGTAGGTACAGTATGTAAGTATGTATGTTATGGATCTACATGTTATGTGTGTATGTATGTTGTGTGTGTATACACTGATCAGCTATAACATGATGACCACCCACCTAATATGGAGTAGGTCCCCTTTTCCTGACCTGTCCAGGCATGGACTCCACCAGACCTCCTGAAGCTATCCTGTGGTATCTGGCACCAAGCCGTCAGTAGCATATCCTTCAAGTTCTATACGTTGTGAGGTGATCGGCCTCCATGGATCGGCCTTTTTCCCCCCCCCCCAGAACATTCCACAGATGCTTCATTGGCCTACAAATTCTCCAGATCTCAATCCAAGTCATTACCTCAAACTCGTTGTTGTGTTCCTCAAACCATTCTTGAACAATTTGTCCAGTGTGTCAGGGCTCATTATCCTGCTGGGAGAGGCCACTGCCATCAGGGAATACTGTTTCCATGAAAGGGGTGTACTTGGTCAGCAGCAATGTTTTCGGTCGGAGGTACGTGTCAAAGTAACATCCACATGGATGGCAGGACCCGAGGTTTCCCAGCAGAACATTGCCCAAAGCATCACACTGCTTGCCTTCTTCCCATAGTGCATCCTGGTTCCATCTCTTGCCTCAGCCGCACATATGCGCCTGGCCATTCACATGATGTAAAAGAAAATGTTTTCATCAGACCAGGCCACCTTCTTCCATTGCTCCGTGGTTTAGTTCTGATACTCATGTGCCCATTGTAGTCATTTTTGATACTGGACAGCATGGGCACCCTGACTGGTATGCGGCTACGCTGCCTCTGGAGTTCCCCTTAATGCAAACCTTTCCTGAAAGACACAAGTTGGCTGCCATTGCTAAATCTCTTCTGAAGATGCTTGTTGTTGGAGGTGGGAGTGACGGCTCTGTAAGGTTGTGTACGAGGGGAAAATTCTTGGGCTGGTGTCGCCAGAAGGGGACGGGGAAAAGCTTGGGTGGGTGCCACCAGAGAGGGAGGAGGAGATGGGTGGATGGGCGTCACCAGAAGGTGAAGGGGAAATGTTTTGGTGGGTGCCACCAGAAGGGGTGGGGGAAAAGCTTGGGTGGGTGCCAGCAAAGAGGGAGGGGGGAATTGTTTGGGTGGGCATCACCAGTGTGGAAGGGGGAAATTCTTGGATGGAAGTCACCAGAGTTGGAGGGGGAAATGGGTGGGTGTCGCCAGATTGTGAGGGGGAAAGCCTTGGGAGGGGGAAATGGGTGGGTGTCGCCAGATTGTGAGGGGGTAATCATTGGGTGGGAGTAACGAGTGGGAGGGGGAAATATCTGCGAGTGTCACCAGAGGGGCAGGAGGAAATACCTGGTTAGGGGTCACCAGAGCAGGATGGGTCACCAGTGGTGTATTTTTTTTTTGGGGGGGGGGATACTGTCTCACTTTAGGGCTGCTGTAAAACAATCACATGGCTGTAATAGATAATTAGATTGGGTGACATCTTAGCTGAGGGAAAGTCACAGGACTGGCTCAATTATGGCTTTTTAATGGTAAATGGTGGAGCTGTTTTTGTTCTGTTGTATATTGTGAGATGTCAGGAATGTGCTCTTGGAGGCCTGTACAGGCTGGCCCCCCCATCGAAGTACTGGCCCAATCAAAGTCCTTTCTTTTGGGTTAATAGTAAAGTTTGGTTACATATGGGCATGTATGAGGGTTGGTGCTCGTCTACCCCATTACACCCACAAGAACACAGCGTCGTGTTATTTTCCTGGTGCTGCACTGTAGGGCCCCCTTTCCTTCACTCGGATGGGGCCTTTCACGTTTGGAGTACCCAGCATACAGCACACCGGGCTTCATCCCAATGCAGGGTCCAATTCGTACGACTCTTCCTTCCTCACTGGTTGCCGCCATCTTGCCTCTTAACAGGGAAGGTGTCACTACGCTGCTAATCACAGCCTACCCGTAGGACACCTCTGTTGGGTCATGTGTCATCGCTCTCCATCTTTATCCTCCTCGGGCTCTAAATTTTTGGTTGAAAGGAGAAGTGTTTTTGAAACGGCCACTGGTGCGGGTTATGGAAGTACCGCTATGTTCAGATTCAGGGAAATGGATAGGGTCACGTTAAATCCGGGATGGGCACCAGCTGTTGTGGAACGACAAGTCCCATGAGTCATTGCAAGATTCCGACAGCCACAGGCATGAGTAGCAGAGGCATGATGGGGTTTGGAGTGCCAAGGTTCACACCCCTCGCTTTAGGGCAGGTTAACACCTTTTTCCGGACCACATCTGGTGTGGAAAATGGTGTGAACCTGCCTGCAGTTCCAGTGCATTCCAGACCAGATAAAATGCGACCTGCAGTATTTTTCTGGTCTTGAACGGACTGCACTGGTGTGAACAGAGGACAGAAATAGCATAGGGATACATTAGGATGCATTTTGTGTCCGGAAACAATCTGGTCCGGAGATCTGGATATGGTGTAAATGGGCCCTTAAAGAGACCCAGTCACCTTGGGAAGTGCAGAGTGAGGGTCTCTTTAAAGCTGACCCTCCTTTTACTTTCCTTTGCTGTAAAATCTTCTGTCAGATGGTTTTGGAGCTTACATGGGGCAATGTTTCCTCCACTCTCCCCCTTTTCCCCATCCCTGTACTATCCATACATGGGAACTTTTAGAAAATGGTCATTCCTGAGAATTGGGTGGAATAGGGGACAGAGTAGGGATTAAGGAAGGGCTAAAGTAGGCCTCCCTTCCTGCTGCTAGTGCCTCCGATCACCCTGGTCAGGAAGGGGCCCTGGTGGCCACACTCCCAGAGACCTTCTGCCATCACCGTCGTCCTCCAGTCAATGGAGAGCTACAGTGTGTCTCCTGTAGCAGACCAGCGTCCCGGATGCCTGATCCCGGAAATAAGGCATCGGCAAGCATTGCCAGGTCCTTTGCTGGAGAGTTCCCAGGTATGCCATTATCATGTGACCATTTGAGGGTCTAGCAAATGACTGCTAGGCCTGAGCACTGCATTATGGGAGGAGGACCTACGCAGAAATGGCAGCGGCGGAGCGCTGTGGAGGGGGAGTATAAGCAAATTGGGGGATTGTTTTTAAAGAGACCCTGTCCCACTGCCCTGCAAGGTATAGGGGTAAGACATGGTGAAACTACAAATTCAGTCACGCATTTGCCTCCGAGTCATGCCTATGGCTGTCCAGTCCTGCAATGCCTCATGGGATTTGTAGTTGCCCATAGCTGTGGAGCCAGAGGTTGCTTACCCCTGTTTTGGGTATGGGCCTATCCTATTCTGATGGAATGATTGTATTTCATGGGTGGGATCTGTACTCCATTGGTTTCCCTTCATGATCACAATGTTCTCTTTCCTTTGCAGATGGTACAAGCTCTGCGCTAAGCCGGGGAAGAAGAATGAGAAGGAGCGAGGGGAGATCCAAGTCTCCATCCAGTTCACCCGCAACAACCTGACTGCCAGCATGTTCGACCTCTCCATGAAGGACAAGCCGAAGACTCCTTTTGGGAAGCTGAAGGACAAGATGAAGAACAAGAAGCGCTTCGACATGGAATCGTCCTCCGCCATCGTGCCGAGCAGCGTTGGCCGCCTGGACAGCGACGAGGAGGAGGAGAAGAAACCAAAGTCGAAGGCGGCCGCGTTCTTCAAAGGGCACCTGAGGAAGAGCTCCCTCACCAGGTCCAATACGTCTCTGGGCTCGGACAGCACCATCTCCTCTTCCAGCGGCGCTGTGCCCAACAATCCCGCCGTCTCCATAGTGGTGTCTGATACCGGCAAGAAGCCTGCGGCCAGGAACAACAGCCTCTCCCTAGAACCCTCAGGTAAATGCTTGTATAAATGGACACATTTCAAGGAGGAGTGATACTCCGCCCTTCTCCTTCAGTCTTGTACAGTTGTAGCGGCTCCTCTCCTGGGCTGAGATTGCTTCCTCTGATTTCACTGCACACTGCGAGCTTCTCACAATGTGCATTAGAAGCTGCAGAAAGTCAGATGGAGCCCGCCTCATTTCCTGCCTGGAGGATGTGTACATCTTGCCTGACCCCGCCCCTTTCATTCATTGGATTTCAGTTCCTTCAATCATGGAGGGTCAGCATCATGTGGGTGTTACCTAGTGTTATCTGCATGCAAATACAGCCTGCCTAGGAACACCCATTCCTCCAGACTGACATGCATTCTGATATTTGCATTACTCCTCCCAACAGCCAGCCCACTGCCTGCATCAGGGCTGAGGGCTCTTGAGAGGAGTACTGAGCCGGGGTGCTGTGATGTGTTAAGGAAGCTATGCACAGCACTCTGACGGCCCCTCCCACCAGTCATGATCTGCCTACATTGCATAGAGAACAGGGACCCAGTGATGACCAGTATGTAAGGGAAAGGGAAAGGTTTTCTCTAAGAACTTAATTATGTTGATGATGGGGAAGAGGAGGAACCAGGAAATGCAAAATATAAGCAGATTACACTTCATCTTTAAAAAAAGAACTTTAGGGAACACTTTTTTTATTTTTTTAGTTTCCTAATGATACAGGAGTATATTTTGCAATGTTCTCCTGTAATAGAAAATCCCCCATGAACTTGCAATTTAATATAATATACTGTGGACGGGGCTAAGCTCCATGCTGAGAAGCAAATCCCCTCCACTCTTTTCTCCTCCTATTGTAGGAGCCGCTGAGGAATATCCGCGGGCCTGTCTCCCCCGCGGGGCCTGTCTCCATCTCTTCTTCTCCCTGGGATCGTTGGGAATAACACAAAGGAGATCTGCAGCAGCGCTTCAACATCTGATCTTGGACCGCATGCACACAAGGGCAATCGTAACCAAAAAAGAAGGGAAGCGCCACAACCAGGGAGATGAATTGATTTGGACCAATTGATGTAGCCTGGTTAGTTGTTGGGGTGTCCGACTTGCTTGACGGTGAAGTGGAGGCGAACAGGTGTGGTCCTTCCCGGTTTGAGTGGTGGGAGGTCACCGGTAACACAAGCGGAGAACGATAAAAGAAGTGAGAAGTGGCACAAAATGGATTCAAGGTGTGGAGTGTAGAGACTCACCGTTTGGTAAGGGTGGAAGCGTTGTCATCGGTGAAGATCCAGGGGGTCTTGTGTGGTTGGATGAGGCTTGGGAATGCTGATTGGTCTATGAGGAGGAGGCGTCCATCGGGGGTCGTGATGTAGCGATGGCTCAGGAGAACAGCCGTCGTCTTGTGCTTGAGTGCGTGTGCCATGGGCTGATGGCAACTGGGGAACCTAATCAATAGGAACAGCCATTGATGCTGCCATGGGGAACATTGGCATCCTGCCAGTACACGATCACCTAATACCGAGCGCTCCTAACCAGGCTCCCTCAATTGGTCCACATCAATTTCTCTCCCTGGTCGTGGCGCTTCCCTCCATTTTTTTTCCTTTTTGTTTACGATTACACGAGTCTGACACCCCGGTCCGTACTATCGGGAAGCTTCACACCTTGCCCACACAAACAACTGGTGTATGAACACCCTCGTCGGAGCGCTGGTTATCTGGACTGCCCCTTCAATTTTTCACATGCACACAAGGGCGACAGCGTTTCAGTGCATTTTCAGCTTGTTTTCAGTTGTCCAATGAAAAGCAGTCTGCGCTGCAAAGACTTGCTGATCGGTGCATTTCCTTTGAAGTCTATGGAGCAAAACGAGCCGATACACTCCACATAAGAAGCTCGGGGACTATTTCACAGGGACGTATTTTGACGTGCGATTTTACGTGAACGGCCACCGATAGGAATACATGGGATATTCATTTGCATGCGTTTCAGCGTGGAAAAAAAAAAACGTGCGATGAAACGCCCTGGTGTGAACCTTGTCCAGTTAGGTCTCGTTCACACCTAGGCGTATTGCATATGCGCGTCTGTCGCGCGTTTTACCGCGATTCGCAGTAAAAAGTCGCGCGTTTCCGAAGGCTACTTGGCTGTATCCCAATGGAAACGCGCAACAAAACGGCCCAAAGTAGTGCCTGTACCTTTTCAGGCGTGGGCCGCTTTGTAGCGCGTTAGGGACGGGCGGAAATACACCAAGGTGTGCACCAGACCATTGAATACAATGGGATTTATTTTCTTTAGCGTTTTGTAGAGCGTTCGTCGAGGTTAGAACGCGCTACAAAACGTTCAGGTGTGAACGAGGGCTTACTGAAGCTGCAGATTTCCTTTTGTGTTATTCCCGACGAGGAGATGGAGACAGTGGAGGGGAGCAGGGGACGCTTAGAATTTGCTTTGAAAATGGTCATTTTGTGAACGGTCATTGGATCCCTCTAATAATTAAACCGATGATGGGTTTTTTTGCCGCAGTAACCAGGACAAATATTCATTAAAACATCTAAATTCCAGAATTGAACGAGATCTCGAATGACATTGGTCGTCTCTGATGGCATCGCATGTTCTGAGCAGATTTATTCTACAAAGTTCTAACAGCATATAGCCGGCATCGCAGTGTAGCGGCTCCTCTGTCTCTCTGCTGCCCTCTGTCTGTCAGCACCCTGTACTGCAACCTCTGGCTGCATTTAGAATCCGGCATTGTGCTTGTGATCAGTGAACAAACTATTACAAAAGTATGAAAATGGGACAGGAGCAGAGGGGGGTGCACAGCGCTTATCTCTCATACCTGTGAGAATGATCTGGGCCCAATTTTTACTCTGATCTTTTAAAGACATTTGCTTCATTCTTATTATCCTCCAATAAAAGGTTTATTATAGGCAGATGCAGTTCTATCACAACTATCGAATGTATTCCTCCAGGAACTTCTGTGCAATGTTGTGAAGGCAGCAAATTCTCCACCTTTGTTATGTTCAAGATGGTGTCATCATCGAGCTCTCCACGAACACACAATATGACCCCTTATAAGAGAAGACTGTGTTGTTTTTATACTTGCCCCTCCTTTCTAACCCTCCCTATACTTCAGTATTAATACCCCCCTGCCCCTCCTTTCTAAACCTCCCTATACTTCAGTATTAATACCCCCCTGCCCCTCCTTTCTAAACCTCCCTATACTTCAGTATTCATACCCCCTGCCCCTCCTTTCTAACCCTCCCTATACTTCAGTATTCATACCCCCCTGCCCCTCCTTTCTAACCCTCCCTATACTTCAGTATTCATACCCCCTGCCCCTCCTTTCTAACCCTCCCTATACCTCAATATAGGGTATAGGGAGGGTTAGAAAGGAGATGCGCCCGGGCAGCGTATTTTACGCGCATATGCGCTTGTTGCGCGCGTATACACTTGTACAGTTCATTAAAATTTCTATTGCAAATGATGCATTCTGGGATTGCACATACGCGCGTATATACGCAATATACAATTTTGCTCTTGCGTTGTGTGTGAATGAGGCCTTAACCAGTTGACATCCGCGGTGTTAAACCCCCTTCCCATCCCGGCCATTTTTCAGTATTCAGCGCTGCGGTACTTTAACTGACATTTATTCCGTCATGCAGCGCTGTACTGAAATTAATTTTATACCATTTTTTAGGGACACATAGAGCTTTCCTTTGGTGGTATTTAATCACCACTGGGGGTTTTATTTTTTACTATATTAAGGAAAAATTACCGGGGGAAAAAAAAAAAACTGTTTCCCCTATGTTAAATTCTAAAACATTTATTATTACCCAATATAATGATTGATGGCCCTAAAATTATTGCTCTCACTGCGACGTTCGCGGCGATATGTAACGTGTGTAGCGCAATTGTCGTTTTCGCGCGCTAGTGCACCCGACGCGTATTTTTGTTTTATATGAGCGTAAACGTGGGGGTGGGGGACTTAAACATTTTGGGGTTTTTTTTAAACTTTTTTTTATGTGACTTTTTTTTATTCTTTTACTTTTTTTTTTTTTTTTTTATATATATTTTTTTCACTTATTGTTATTATATAGGGAGATTGTTATTATATAGGGGGATTGTAGCACAGGTACACTGACAGGTTCTCTATGGAGACATTAGGGGTCTTTAGGACCCCTAATGTCACATGGGGGCCCCAAAAGAAGCGGATGAAGCAGAGATCTGCTTCATCAGCTTCTTTTCTCTGGCAATAGCAGCCAGATGACTGACAGGTGAATGCGGAAGTGATGTAATACACATCACTTCCGCATTCACAGCCTGGAGGGAGATCAGCAAGGAGCTGATTTCCCTCTTCCTTCTGACGCCCTCCCGAGCCGGTCCCGGGCCGCAGATGGGCTAGCGGATCCCGTGATTGAAGGTGAGGGGTCAGGAGGGGGGGCACACACCAGCACATATACACGATCGGCTGGCTGTAGAGTCGGGTATATGTTAAACAGCCGGTAACTGCCATATGCATTGCACGGGTTATTTCTGCCCGTGCGCGCTCAGAAAAAAAATGCCGCCTGGAGACGGCAACCCGCTAATGCAGCAGTGCTGTCCGTCGGTTTTTTTCAACGGGCGCACGGCAACTGGTTAAGGTAAGTGTTCCCTAACTAGGGTTGCCACCAGCCCAGGATTTTCCCAGACAGTCCGGGTTTTGAATGCTGTGTCCAGGTTTCATGGCAACAGAAACATGGACACAGGATGCCATGCAGACAGGGGCAACCAAAATGAAGATAGGGGCTACTGGCCCCCCACTGAAAATAGTCTCAACTGTGATATTTACATATGAGTAAGCCGCGACTCATTCTCCCAAAAAAAAATGTCCGCACGTCGCTAGAGTGCTCGGGTTTCGCTTGAAAAAAAGTGTCAACCCTAATGCGCAAATAAAAATGTACAAAGCGGTTTACTTCCCCTTTTTATATTCATGATTACAAAGTTATTTTACAATTGAAATAAAGACTTAATAAAATAACAAGCAAAACAAATAGAAATTATAAAGTTTTAGATGGTAATGGTGGGAAAGCCGGAAACGTGAATATGGGGAAGGGGTTAATGAGGACTAATTAGGATAAACGAATGGTTAATAAGGGGGATAGAAAGAAACAAAACTTAATGCAGGAAAGTCTGACTGGCCTAACTTGCAGATGAAGGCTCATCGCTTTGATCTTCAGATGAAAAGAACAGAGGGAATACAACAGGAACAAAGTTACTTTGCATCTCTGCATGTCGTGACATAACCCGCCATTCAGTGTTTTTCCCCATAGTTCTCCTAAGATTCACGAGAGGACAAAAACTAGCGTCCTCCCAAAGCTCTGACCCTAGGCTCAGTATACCGCGAGCTACAGCTTGCGGTATACTGAGACCGCCGCAGCCGGGACGGATCCCGACATTACTGTCGAGATCCACCCAGCTGGGTGATTGACAGTTCGCTTTGCCTATCCAGAGGCAGAGCCAGCTGTACCCGCCCCCTCTCCCATCCGTTCCTCTAGTCGGCGCTGGAGGATCGGAGCGGGGAGGGGGGAATCCCTGCTGGGAGCCGTGAGTGACGGTCACGGCTCTCTGCCGGGACAGGATCGAGAGGTGAGCGAACGCCGGTATGTGTTAGTTCACTTCCCCATCTACTGAGCCGACCTGTGACAGTGTCATTGCCACAGGTCGGCTAGAACTATGAGTGAAAATCACTCACCTCATAGTTCTCCTTTAATGGCACCCCAAAGGTGGCTGAGCACACGCATTTTTTCCAGTACATTCGCCTGCAGGAAAAATGTGAAACGCATATCGCAGAATTTCTTACATGCACTACCCTCCAACAGGAAGTCACGTGCATGTTCGCGCACTTGTTTCCCCCCGTTTGGTGCGTATCCCCTTTTGGCTCCTGGATATAGGAAAGTAGTGCATGTTGCAAATTCTGCGACATGCGCTCTGGGTTTTTCCCTGCACGGACGTACGGGGGTAAAAAAACTTGTTTGGGGTGTCACTATTGCGTAATGGCAACACAAGCGTATTCTGCGTTTGTGCAGATGCATAATTTACAATAGGCCCAGGTGTGAATGGGAGCTTGCAGGGTCTATAGACACATTTTGTATTTCTCTTTACAGCCGTAGGCCCCATTTACACCTCTGCATACAAGGAACGCATTAATTTGTGTGCATTTTTCCCCAAGTTTGCTGCTCGTCGCCCCCATTGATTTCAATGGGTGTCGCACATGCGACAAATGCGGGAAAGTAGCACATGTAGCAGATTCTGCCACAGGTATACTGCAGGTTTTTTTTTCTGTGCATCCTTGTTTAAGGCAATACAAACGGTTTCCTAGCCGCGTTTGGGGCGTCATTAACAGGTAATGGCACCGCAAGCGTGACGCACATTTTTTAAGCGGTCATGAACACATGTCAAAGCATACGCATGACACGCATTTGGAAATCCCTGCTGGGAGCCGTGAGTGACGGTCACGGCTCTCTGCCGGGACAGGATCGAGAGGTGAGCGAACGCCGGTATGTGTTAGTTCACTTCCCCATCTACTGAGCCGACCTGTGACAGTGTCATTGCCACAGGTCGGCTAGAACTATGAGTGAAAATCACTCACCTCATAGTTCTCCTTTAATGGCACCCCAAAGGTGGCTGAGCACACGCATTTTTTCCAGTACATTCGCCTGCAGGAAAAATGTGAAACGCATATCGCAGAATTTCTTACATGCACTACCCTCCAACAGGAAGTCACGTGCATGTTCGCGCACTTGTTTCCCCCCGTTTGGTGCGTATCCCCTTTTGGCTCCTGGATATAGGAAAGTAGTGCATGTTGCAAATTCTGCGACATGCGCTCTGGGTTTTTCCCTGCACGGACGTACGGGGGTAAAAAAACTTGTTTGGGGTGTCACTATTGCGTAATGGCAACACAAGCGTATTCTGCGTTTGTGCAGATGCATAATTTACAATAGGCCCAGGTGTGAATGGGAGCTTGCAGGGTCTATAGACACATTTTGTATTTCTCTTTACAGCCGTAGGCCCCATTTACACCTCTGCATACAAGGAACGCATTAATTTGTGTGCATTTTTCCCCAAGTTTGCTGCTCGTCGCCCCCATTGATTTCAATGGGTGTCGCACATGCGACAAATGCGGGAAAGTAGCACATGTAGCAGATTCTGCCACAGGTATACTGCAGGTTTTTTTTTCTGTGCATCCTTGTTTAAGGCAATACAAACGGTTTCCTAGCCGCGTTTGGGGCGTCATTAACAGGTAATGGCACCGCAAGCGTGACGCACATTTTTTAAGCGGTCATGAACACATGTCAAAGCATACGCATGACACGCATTTGGCACATATTCTTGAAACGCAAAGGTGTGAACGGGGACTAATAGCTCCTGTATTTTCACAGCAACTACTGGCTGGAACATTTGAGGGGTTAGAAACTAACAAACCTGTGTCCTCTACTAAATGCGCCCTGTGTACTTCTATGTAGTTTCTTTTGGTTGTTTGTAGCATGGCCAATATACACAGCTAGTTAATATACCTCCTGCCCCACCTTCCCAATTAACTCCCACCCCCATCTCAATCTCCCTGCCTGTTGAGATGGTTCCATGCAATGTTTCTATTAAAGGAGAACTATGGGGTCAGTGTTTTTTCCCTGTAGTTCTCCTTAGGGTAACGGGAGGACACAAACTAGCGTCCTCCTGTTACCCTAAGCTCAGTATACCGCGAGCTAAAGCTCTCTATATACTGAGATGCCGCAGCGGATCCCGACTTAGATGACGGGATCTGCCCAGCTGCGTGAGTGACAGCTGGCTCTGCCTATCTAGAGGCAGAGCCAGCTGTACCCGCCCCCTCCCCCGTCCGTTCCACCAGTCAGCGCTGGCAGATCGGAGCGGGGAGAGGGGAATCCAGCCCCTCCCCCTGTCACGGCAGAGAGCCGTGACAGGATCGAGAAGTGAGTGAACGCCGGTATGTGTTCGCTCACCTCCCGATCTACTGAGCCGACCTGTGACAGTCTCATTGTCACAGGTCGGCTAGAACTATGAGGTGAGTGAAAAGCACTCACCTCATAGTTCTCCTTTAAGGAGGTAGCCTGAAATGAAAGAGCCCCTGCTGTGCTCCTTGCTTAGAAAGCTTTGTGTCATGGGTGAACCAGTTATGGAATGGTGTAACTACTGCACCTCCTCCAATCAATGTCACATCTTGGCTAATGATAGCCCCTAACTCTCATAGAACTTATGAGTAGAGGGTTGTAAGTCACTGTCCGGCCCTCCTCCATAATATGTAGGCCTGGAGAACCAATTTACTTGTAAAGGCAGGCTACACAATGCAGGATATACCCCAATATGGTAAGATCAGAACCCTTTTCTAATTTTGCCTGGTGTATTGTGTTCCTATCTTGCAGTTATGGACCACGAAGCATCTCCAAGGTTGACTCACAAGAGGGCCTTCAGTGACGAAGTCGGTCAGGTGAATACGTTCCCTGAACCAAAGGGCGTGCAGAACCTCAAACCAAAGAGCAGCCCCATTTCCAAATCTTCAGTGTGCATCAATGGAAGCCATGTCTACGCAGAAGTGCCTCCTCCAAAGTCTCCCTCTCTGGAGAGATCTTCACAGGCCTCCAAATCTTTTCAGAATATTCTAAAGAAAGCAGAAGAGGCCGTGGTTCCTGAGGTCCCGATAAGACAGACCCAGGCTGGCGAGAAACAGGAGCGCAAGCCGGCCACTCTTCCAGTGTTCTCTACAGAAGAGGGAAAGACCTCCCTAAAAATTACTCCAAAGCCAAAAACTGACCAGACCAAAGCAGAGACCAAACCCGTGCAAGTGACGTCACCCATGGTGTTCTCGGAGGACCTCTCCAAGAATAAAGCTCCAGAAGTTCAGGCCAAAGATGAGAAAGCCAAGGATGGCTCACAACTTGGATCTGGAAAGAACGAAAGATCTAATAAGAGCATTGAAGACCCCAGACCACATGTGCCTTCCAGCTCTGAGGAGAGAAGCAAAGTTGGCAGCTGGTTTGGTTCCAAAGAGGCAAAGGATGTGCCACAAAAACCAAGGTTGGTAGAGTTGTTGTTTTTTGTTACTTTTTTTGAAAAGCAAATGACTATGCTTCACTTCAGCCCAATGTTTCTTTTGTAGGAAGTAGATTTGGGACAGGTTAGAACCGGTCTTGGATTTTATTTGTCGTCTTGGTCTCTGCTTGACAGATTTTTCCCTCGCTTCCTCTCCTGGTAGTCTTGGCCAACAGGACAACTGAGCTGAAATCGTCCCAATTAAAATCTTAGGTCCTAAGCCTGCTCCATGTAGTAGTTGGCCAGTCCCTAAAATTCCAAACTCATGTTCCAACTACACACGTTGGCATAACCAAATCCCATTATTTTTATTAGCAAAAGTTTGCCCAGTCATAACAAAATAGGTGTTTCCTAAAGCCTAGGCATCCTAGATCACATGGTCTCTGGCTACTGGGAGGATTGTGGGTGATTCATGTTTCAAGACATACAAACCCTGTGCAGTTCTCATACTGTATGTGTTCCATTAAACAGGGGTGTGGACATTTTAGAAAAAACTACTAGTCCAAGGACTAAAGTGGGGGCCCGATCTACTTGTCCCTCGTAACAATCTACTTGTCCTGATGCAAAAAAATAATTTTAACCAAAACCGTATTTAGAAGTGCTAAGAAGCGCTTCTCATTGGTCAGCGTCGTCAGGTGGCCGCGTTGACCAATGAGTGCTTGCAATTTGCGAGCGAAATTCACAATATACGGAACAGGTACAGATAGTACACCCGTACTGGTGGACGGGAAGGACCGTTCGCCCAAAGGTAAGTATAGTGGGAGGGAGATTTGTGCGGGTAATTCCATTTTCCAAAATTACTTGGGAAAGTGAATTTACCCTTTAGGGTTGGTGCAGACTTGGCCAATCCCGGGACGCGCGATCATGTGCGGTTGCATACAGCGGTTGCGTCCACATGTATGGGGTTACATCTGCATGGCAATCGCTGAAAAGGTACATGTACCTTTTTTCGCGACACGCACCGCACAGTGTTTTCAACCGCGATTGCGTGGGGCCGCCCGGGCGGTATCGCGGCAGTAAACCGTGCAATCTGCCTGGCACGACCGGGGTGCCAATAGAAAATAATGGCACTGCCAGCGCGATCGGCGGTGGTGTGCGATCTGTGACTGCCCGGTCATCCGCTCAGATTCGTGCACAATGACCGTGCAGTCACGGATGGCACAACACCGCCGATCGCGCTGGCAGTGCCATTATTTTCTATTGGCACCCCGGTCGTGCAAGCCCTGCTACTTGTCCGTAGCAGGGCTAAAACACTGAAAAAACCACTTGCCCGGCGCCCGGAACTACATGTCCCGGGCGTCGGGCTATACGAATTCCACACCCCTGATTAAAGTAGGGCTGTGGAAATTAAAGATTAATTTCTCGATCGTTAACTTTTTGATCGATTTAAAATAATTTTGATCGCTAATGAAACCAAAATTAATCGATTAATTTTTAAAAAATGTGATTAATCGAACACGAACATTTTAATCATTACCAGCCCTATATTTAAAGTATATCTGAAGCCAAAACTTTATTTTTTTAGATTTGGATAGAGAGGAAGGGGGTGTACCCTTCATTATAAAGTTATCAGTCTCCTCGCATTCCAAACCTTTCCTCTCACTACCGGTGTTTCACTGGGATAAAAAGTGGGGAAACATGAGAGGGGAACAACAAATACAAATTCTGACCTTGACAAAGGGGGTTCAGCCCTTCCCACTCTATCCCCCAAAAAAAAAGGATTTTCCTGTTTTAATACACTTCCAGTTCATCCAGTGTTATTGGTTGCAACACACCAGCTGAAAACTGAAATCAGGACGGCCCTGGAGTGCTCTGTAAACTCGTAGGGTATACTAACGAGGGCATGCTAGGCATGTGCGCCGGCAAAAGATTTGTTTCGGTTTAGTTTCAGTTCAGATTTTTAGTTATCTCGTTTTTCGGGATTCAGGTCCGAAAAGTCAATTTTATCTTGTTCATTTCGGATGCATTTTAATAATTACAAGCGAACATTCGTTACAGCAAAGTGACTTTTTACTTTTGACAGTCCACATAAACAATAACAAAAAAAACACAGCGTAATGGAATTTTAGGGGGGATCCAAACACAAAAAAGCGAGGGGTCCTCCCCAAAATCCCTTGATCCAAGCAGCAGGAAAGGAGGAGTGTGCTCCATACCAGGCCCGCAGACCCTCAACATGGATACTGTGCTTTGCCAGGAAAAGCCCCTGGCAAAGAACAAGGGCCTCTTCCTACAACCACCGTGCCAGGGTTGTGGGGAAGAGGCCCTTGTTCTGCAGGCAGGGGGGGGTTTATCTGGGTTTCAGTTTTTTTTTTTTAATGTTTAACAAATTCTTGCTGAATGACATTCGGGGAAAAAAATTTGGATGCTTCCAAATTTTCCTTTATAAAAAATTTGGATTCGTCATTTCTTTCATTCCGAATGAAACAAATTGAACATGTCCTGGGCTGACAGGATGGTGCTCAGGAAGGGCATTATTCTTCAAAGAGGAAGTGGGGTAATGACATGCAGTGTATAGCACAGCAGGATGGGTCCATACGAACGAAGATGTATGTTGAACCTTCAAAAACAGGTCAGCAAATTTTATTGTGCGGTAATTCCCGCGATATCGCGGCTATTTACCGCGCAATATCGCTCTCCAATGCATGGCAATGGGGCTCTGTCCGTCGCTGTCGCGGGTCGTGCGTCGCTACAGCAGGACCCTTTTTTGGAGCGGATTTTTCCGCGATTCTAGCTTGCTCAATGCATATCGCACAAAATGCAAATCGCGCGACAAACGCGCGATTTGCGAATCGCTCGGTGTGAATGGGGCCTTATAATGTGTAAGTTGCCTGTCAGCTGCCACATTCAGTTGTTGCTTTGTGGTCATCTGCAGGATTCACACACAGGAAATGTGGAAATGTTCTGCTGTATTTTAACCTACTGACCCATCACTTCCTTATTCGACTAACTGCCAGCTTATGTACAGAATAACTAGTACATATCCTTTAAACAAGCCTTCTCCCTGTATACCGCAGAACAGTAAATGTCACAATGCATCTTCTGCATCAGTGTGTTTGACACACCACAGCCTGTAACTGCCCAGATCTGCTTCCAACATCATTGCTGTGGAGATTGATATTGCCTACCACCAATATAGGGCAAAGACGTGAGAGAGCTACTAGGTGCACAAGAGGCTCCAGTTGTAGGATTTGGCTGCTAAGCTGTGAATAGCCTGAGCAACCTGTATATCTGTATCTATCTCCTGGTGTCTGGTTCAGTCACAACATCAACTCCACTGAATCTATTAGAGCAGGCGCACATGTTTCTTCCCTTTCTTGAATCAGTTTAGATTTTTTTTTTTTGTTGGCATTAGAAAAGAGTTGCAGTGCTTGGCTTTCTTACAAGAAAACATGTCATGGAAAGATCATCTCATGAGACAGTCTACCATTGCTGTTCCCCTTCTGCAAATGCTGATTGCCTGCTTTCATGTCATAATAGAACATAATTGTTCTGGGTCAGTGACTTGGAAAGTATTGGTGCCATTGGGTCAGTAGGATAGCCATGGACCTAGTATTTGCACATGGAAGTTGGCAATACAGTTTAGGAAATCCCCAATTTTTAGTGATGCACCGATACCAGTTTTTCGGTATCGAGTACAGGCACAGATTTTTCAGTACTCGCCGATACCTGCCAATACTGAATACCGGTGCCCTGATTTATCAGGAAGCCGGGCAAAGGATCATGACCCGCCGCCCGGCTTCCTGATCACCTGGTAAGCCAGTATTTTATCAAAAGAACACCGGCTTCTCTTCCCGCGGCTGCCTGGCTTCCTGACCAATTAGGAAGCCAGACGGCGAGTCATGAGGTGCTGCCCGGCTTTCTGATTGGCTAGGAAGCCGGCTTTACTTGTTGCTAGGCAGCCTGGCTGCCTGACCAATTGGGAAGCCGGGAGGTGGTTCATGACTTGCCGCCCGGCTTCCTTATTGGAAAGGAAGCCGGCTCCCTTGGCACTGGCGGTCAGAGGGAGATCTTCCAGTATCGGAGGTAAGTATTGGAGCATTTGGCCGAGTACGAGTATCTGTGCATCCCTACCAATTTACATTTTTGTTCTCAGGTGGGAGGGCTGGAATAAGGGATGTGCAGTGTAACTGTGTTTTATGGGTGAGAAGAAAAGGAGCAATATGTAGTTACTCCCACCAGCTAAAGTTTCTGATGTGTAGCCAAAATATTTATCTTTTTTGGAGGGGGGGATTAGGAAGCATTAAAACCCTTGCCATGCATTTATTGTTCTTTGCATCTCCGCTGGGGAGATTCACACTATTCGTTCTGCCAGCCATTGTCACCGAAACAGTGATGGGAAGTCCAAAATTTTACAGTTGTCACCAGAACAAAAGGTAAATCTTCAAATGGGGATGCCTATTATGGTGACAACTGTCTAAGAGTTCCTCCTAACTAGAGGTTTCGTCTCATCTCCAGGGCAGAAAGTAAAGGAATGGGACACTCATAGCAAAAAATAAAATGATGTGTTTTTATAAATCTTCCATCTTCCCCTTATGATAGGTTTCCTTTAACATTTTGCAAATATTTACTGCATAGGGATAGACTTATTTTTTTCAAGTGCTGTCAATGTCTCTAATTGGTTAGGTTTCCTTTGCTACCAGTACGGGTGACCACGCACGAAGTGAGGGGGAATTCTTAGATGGCCATGAGATTTTTCAGGGGTTCTAATCCCTCCTAATTTGAACTGAAGCTAAAAAATAAATTGGCTGCAATAGAAACCTTTAAAAGGTGGTAAGGTCCTTTAAAATCAGCCTTGTGGTTTATTCAAGTCTTAGTACAGGATCTAATTTTCTAGCTGATTGGCTCTCCTACATCTCTGTAACTGAGCAAATGTCACCACGCTGATTTTACACAATCGTTACATAAATCTTCCATCGGATGTGTCGTAATTGCCGCGTTCCGCTCCCTCTGCTTTTAGCCGATGTTCTCCTAGGCTGCTAAACTGT